ATCATAATCTATTTTATTTCGCTTCCGCACTTATAATAAATATATATACATTTCTTTTTAATTTTCGGGGTCGTTACAATATTATTGTGAGTTTTGACATATAAAATTTTAATATAAAAAATTATATATCTTATCTTTTCTCCGTCTCTTGATTAGAGAAATTACACCATAAACTTTCAGAATGCTTTATAAAACGATAAATATGTAGAAGGTAAGAAGGAATTATAAGATTTTGCTCAAACTTAATTCCTTAGATCCCCACTTTGGCTTATTTACAATTTTGCCATGATGTCTGCCATTAAGTTCTTCCTTGAGAAATATGAGTGACTCACTCCAGCAAGATCTTTCAAGAAGTTTGTTATTCCTTTGTCCGCCATATTTCAAGTCCATGATATCCTTCCTTTAGTTACCTAAGCAACAACCACATTCATGTTGGGTTTACTATTAGGATCACTGGCAACGCCCTTATTGCTAGTAGTTTAACTTAATTTGAGTGAACTACACTTACATTCTCTGAAGAAAAGTGTCCTCATTCTACCTAACCAGTCCTTTAACAGTGCTCTTGCTCCAATTAGTAGTGGTTTCTCTCAAAAAGAACTATCAATGTTTGATTCCTAGTGTTCTCCCTCCGGTACCATCCATACTTTTTTTTCTCGAGTTTCTAACTTGGTGAATACTAACCAAGGTACTAGAGAAAGAATAAATATATTGTTTAAAAGGAGCTACGAAAGACTTGAGAACAAGAGATATTGACATAGGGATTGTAGACATTGTTCAAGCCTCCCTTTTGATGATATCAACGCTATGTTGCTGCTCCTCCTAGTTCTCTGGTTTTTGAAGCTTTGAAAAATGAGCCAGCTGCGCCTTACAAACCCTGATGTACCATGCCAGCTTCGAGACTTGGGAGAGTTCTTTGTGGCTCGAGCTCTAAACGTCCGTGAAGAAGAAACATGACTTCATTTTCACCTTAAAGCCCTAATCTTTTTAGCCTCGATGACGTCGCTTAAGCGATTCCTGAAAAGTGTTGTTTTGGCTCATTCGTGGGCTGGCTGGTCCTTTGGGCTGTCTGATCCTTCTGTCCTCCTCCAAGCTTACATAGGCTGGGCTAATTGGAGATTAATTGGTTTAGGCACTCCTTTTTCTTTAAACAAAACTGGGTTTTCTTGTGCTGGGTTAGGAAATAAAAGGGATATAGGACCTGGACAATTTGTTAAGTTTTTATGTACTGTAAAAATAAAACTGTAATGTTTTTTTTGTTAAAATGAAAATGTATATCCACGTGGTGGAACCAGCTGCAAGTAAATAGCCTCCTGCATTTTGAGTTGCCATTTTAAAACAGAACTCTCCAAATTGAAACGCGAACAAAGTAAATTCTAGCTGCTTAGTCTTAGACGCGAGGAAGAATGTGGAACGAGTGTTCTGCCTCTCTGCGATGTCAATCAATAGCCTTCCTCATTCAATCTGCCCGTGTATGTCTCTTCCTTTTAAGAGACATATCCAATGCTCTTCAATTTTGAAGATCATTTTGCAGGGAATATGAAATCATGATTTTGTATTGTTCGTGGCTTTCTATCAGTTGATCGTGATTCCTTTCATAAGTCCTCCTAATATTATTCTTTTTCGTCACTTTCTATTTTCCATTTCGTGATTCAAGCAACTTGAAGTTTCTTCACTCGTCAAATACTCTGCATTATCGCTCTTCGTTGATCGATTTTATTTTTCCCTTACCAGGTATTGTTTTATTTCTCTCTCTCACTAACTTCTCTTTGGATTTCTGAGGTTTATGTCCTGGCTCAATTCAATTTGTTTTACATATTCAATCAAGATTGCGCTTAAATTTTCTTACCTATTTGCTCAATTATTTAGTTAATGCAGAGTTATCTATTGAGTTTACGTGTCGAATAACTGGGAGCTAGGTTTATTGGCATTGCTATATTATTCTCCTTGTTGCCTTGTTGGAGGTTCTGTTTCCTGTTTATGGACTATATTAGATACTATGGAGGTTCTGTTTCTAGGAAAGACAGGGAGTCCAGTGATGGAGAAATCTAATGACTGTGGAATTACGGCGGAAATTCACAATTAATATTTTTAGAGAAGAAATCACAAATTAAAGTTGGAGAGTAGAGAAACGCGTATATTTAGCGTCCATGGAATATTATTGTATTCTAATATTCTCATTTTTTATTATAAATATCCCAGACCTTGTTTAAATCTGGTTCAACCTCTCTCAAATGACGTTGAAAGAAGTTGTGGAAATAACATTCATATATTCAATCGCTCCATCTCTCTGTCACTGCATGTTATCTGCTCATTTGCATTTGCTCTTGATTCTCTTGCACTTGCACAAATCTTGTGCATGATAAGTAATCAAAATCCCATCCAAGTTCTTCACTCTCTGCGTCTTTAGGAAGAAAAGCCTGTCCACATCAGTATTCTGCACCTTTCCCAACGCTTTTAGGTGCCAACATAAGGCCAAGATTCACCTTAAAAGGCTGTTGCATTCAATCTAGGACTCTGCAGAATTTGGCTTAGAACTTTGTTTCTTCTATTTTATTTCCAATCAGATTGTAACCTTGTCTATATGATGCATGGTGACTTAAGTTTAGACTTCCTAAATAGATTTTGTAATTCTTTTAAACATAAAACTATTGTACTATTTTTGAGTCTATTTCTTAGTTTTGATCCTATTTGAGAAATATTACTTAGGAAGCACTATAAATATCTTTGTAATTTAGTTTTGAGATACTTTTGTTATTCAGTAAAAGTTCCTTGAGAATTTTCTCAATTTTTTTGGTTGTGTCAGATTCTTAGGTGTGATATTTATGAAACACTTTTTGTAAAAATATCTACACTTTAATGCTCAAATTCCTTGCTAGAAAAATTAACCATAAGTTGTCTTACATCATTGTACCTCAATAGCGTAATGTGTCACAATCTATCAATGATAATTACCCAAATTCTCAAAATAAATCCGTTTCACCTTGTGGTATCAAAATGCCAAACAACCATGGCAGAGTCATCTAGTGAGTCCCCTCAAACTGCTCTAACTGTTGTTCAGTCCAACCTCTGAAAACTCTTCTTACTCTCAATATTTTCTGCAAAATTAACACCTAAGAGTGATTTGGCCGGGAAAACTCAATTTCTTCCATTGATTATCAAAGTCTTCTTAGATTTATTGATGGCACAAACCTAGCTCCCAAAAAACCACATCTTAATCAGATCAAAATGAGCAAGTTCCTAATCCTCCATTTGTTTGTTGGTTTAAGAAAGATCAGATGCTCCTCTTTTGGACCCTTTCCTTTTTCACCGCAGAGGTAGTTTCTTATATAATTGGCTCAACAACATCCTCCAAAATCTAGAATGCTCTCCACTAAAGTTTTGGATCCATTTCACAAAGTCAACAACTTCAAATTCATACTGAAAATGAAAATGAAAATGACCTCTCCTTTTCTTAAATATTTGCAAAAGGCCAACTCTCTTACCGACGAGCTTGAGAACGGCTGAATTTAATGCTCTTGCTTATTGCAATTTGGCGCCAAATTCCACTGTACAAGTGCTGCTCTGAAATTGCTTGCTAGTCTAATCTTGTTTTATGGATTTCATGAACAATTGATTGGTCATGAAATCTTCCTCAGAAATTTCCATACATGGCAAATTGCAAACATGCTCATTGCCTGCTGCTTCCTCTAAGCAGCTCTTCACCTGTCCTCTAAACCGTAACTTGTGAGTCCAAACAGTGGCCAAACCTAAGGCAACAACCAGCACCCACCTCAGAATCATGGACCTTGCCAGATCTGTGGCTACCAGAAACACAACAGATTAATGTTGCCGTCATTACAACCATCCTCCTCAACAACCTAGGGCTGATATGATTTGCTCTACTTCTCCAGTAAGTGCTAATTTTCATCCTATGCCTATATTTGTTGCAGCAAATAAGGATCATGCTATCCAAGTGCTCCGGTCACTCATCATGTCACCTTAAATATTGCAATTATGAGTAGTTTTAGTGATTAAAAGGGGATGGACCAACTACAAGTTGGCAATTGTCAAAATTTGCAAATTTCTCACACTGGCAATTCATCTATACTATGTCCTATTCAACCCTTATCACTTAATAATATTTTACAAGTTTCCTCTATCCAGAAAATTATTTTAAAATAAAGAAATTCACAATTGAAAATTCATGGCTTTTAGTTTGGTCAAACAACTTTTTTATAAACTATTATGCCGTCAGAAACTTCACTTCACAATGCAGATTCTAATTGTTTCCCTTAGAAAAGCTTTTTATCTCTTGGTCATGTTTCAGGACTAGCATTGCGTGATCATCTTGGTTATCCCAATCAGAAGAGCAGTTGCTAGATATCCTAACCAAGCCACTGCCTAAATATAGGTTTGAAGTTTTAAGAAGAATGTTTTCCACTGTCAAAAAAAAAAGCCAAGAAAGAGTGTTGAAGGTTGACACTTTTATGTTCCTCCTTGTCCATGTCTTTTACCCTTAGTTTAGTTTCTAGTCCAATGGTTAGTTTATTGTGTAAAGCATATATTAGTGAACAGGCTGCTTACAGAATGTTTGTATTATATCAAGGTTTCTTACACTACTTTACAAAGCATTTTTTTCTTTTTTTGGAAGGCATTGGCTGTCATGGTCAGCATAATATATTTAAGGCATTTCGAATAAAGAAGCAATTCAATTTTTTGCCTCAATTTCTCTTCCTCCACTCATGAGATGGGTCATAATAATCTGCCCTCCAACTGCCTTATCTATTATAGAAAGATATTATCAGAAAAATGGGTAAAATTGTTTTGGAAAGTTAATA